TGATCACAGTGTTTTCTGACCCTGACTGTGCAGCCCTTTCAGGGAACCGACTTGACTTTGGTCTTCTTGCTGTCACATAAATGAAGCCTATTGGCTGTACTCTCCTCAGGTGCTGCTGCTTTTTGGCTCCTGATTGCATGTGCTAGCAGGCACAGGGCAGGCCTGCCATCTGCTGAGATTGAGGAGTTCAGTGAAGAGCGGTCTTAACTGCAAGAGCTGAGCCCCAAAACTTTTGCCTTCTGGTCACGTTGCAGGCTGCAGTTGAGACTTGTGTCATGTACACAACAAGCAGGAAGAACCAGTGTGGGGCTGGCTGCTGGCAGGGGGCTCAGGCCATGCAAGTGGAGCACTTGGGAACACGTATATATCGGCATAGATTTACAGGAGTACACGTGTACTTACTGCATGCAGGGAGAGTCAGTGTATGGATCCAAATGCACCCTTAGTTGACTCTCAACCGCAAATCTCAAGGCGTTTATCACTGTAATAAAACTGCAGATGGTGTGAAAATGTATTTTGTCTCAAACCTGAGTTCTCTCAGGTTCAGGATTTTATTTTTTTTTCTGAATGTATATAACTTCTGCCTCATTGTAACCTCATGTTTGCATGAGCAGCTTAATCAATAAACTTCTTTTTTTCTCGTAACTCCTCAGTACCCATTTAATTTGCTGGTTTAGTGTGTTTTATGCTTGAAAGTATTTATTTCTATCAGGAACTCTATATTGTGTCTGTTTTCCTGGCTGCCAGCACAATACACTAGCACAAATTTTGGTAGCACAGATGTTCCTTGTTAAACATGTTTATATCATCTTGTGTTGTATAATCTCATACTTTAAAACAAGGACTGAAACCTGTGAATTTCCCTTAAGCCCCTAGCTGCATTTGGTGAGCATCACTGTCTGTTTAACATAAGGCTTTGGGCAGTGAAAAACAGCATTCACATATGCTTTTCCCCACCCCTAAGAACAGAAATAGATGTATACAGCTTTTTGTAGCATCTTTGATCCAGGCCCTTTTCCCTCTTTGAAAGTTAGTCATGATCGCTTGGACATGACTCCTGACAGGTCTTTTCCTTATACTAGAAGCATTAAATGCATGGTCAAAACTTTACAGAATCTGTACATCTGGATCTTAAAAATCCCCAAGAATTTGTTTTTATGTATTCCATCCCTCTGGGAACAGTGCAGTGGCAGATATTTCTCCCAGGCATGTATGCAGCAGGAGGCTTCCTTGAGCTAATATGCATTAGGAGGTGGCTCCTTCTGTTTCTTTTCTTCTAAAATTTGTTAGCCTTTTCTGGGACTGCCATAACTCTGCTTTTTTTTTTTTTTTTTTTTTTTTTTTTTTTTTTTTTTTTTTTTTTTTTTTTTTTTTTTTTTTTTTTTTTTTTTTTTTTTTTTTTTTTTTTTTTTTTTTTTTTTTTTTTTTTAAGTACATCTGACTCTCTCTGATTGTCCAAACCAATACTAGGTATTCACACAATTAAAATCAGAAACAGGAGAAATTTCTGCAGGTGCACTTTTTGGCTGGGGGGCCTTGCTCACCTCAGCAGCCTGTGAGCTATGAGGTTCTGGATAAGGTGGGGAGTGTGATGCATCAGTTAGTGAGGATGGAGGTGAGGGGTTTCATGGTATACAGCCTCTAGTGCAGCAGTCTGGGATTCGCGGACTAGTAGTTGTTAGAGGTTACCACCCCCTACCGTGACATTTCTGTGCAAGGGTCTTCTTTTCACACAAGGAGCTGCTTTCCAGTCCTCAGTTCCCGCACCCTGTTCTTCTCTTCCCATTCACCATTAGAAATCTGCATGGATCGTTGAACCCTCCACATCAATGAATCGCTGTTCCAGCTCAGAGTTTTTTTCATGGGGATTAAAATACAGGAAAAGTAGATTATGGAAAGGTGTTTGGAGAAAATTTGGGTGTGTTTTGTTACTAAATCTGCTTGCAAAGCCATGCAAACTAGTAATACTTTTTTCCTACAATTTGCTAAACTAAGTCTTTCCAACTTCAGTAGGTGATGACCAACTTAAATATAACCTTTGAAAACAAACAATTATTTGCTTCTTAAAATAAAGCATATGTGTGCTTTTTTTGCCGTGTGTATAGGGAGGATTCTTTTACTGTCCAAAAATAAAGTTTTTCCTCTGTTATTTTAAGATTAATTGTTTTACTAATAATTCAACACTTCATTTAAAGGCATTTCAAAAAATGTTCAAGCAAGTTCATACCTATGTATATATATGAGTTTTGTCATATATTGCTGATATCTGGTTGTAATCTGTCCAGATTGTAAAGGAGATTCTGTTACAGGACCAGTATGAATCCATATGCATTAAGAGAGCATTGTTAATAACTGCAACTTTTCCCTTTGGATTCCTTCCCTAATTGTAAATCTTCCTTTTCTTTAATGCATAATATGTCTAATCTGGAAAGCTTTAGTGTTTGGTAATGTATGTTTTTTATTAATGTAAAACAATTTGAAGATTATACATGCTCTGGAACTTAGTTATGCTTTCAGGTGCTGATGCTGTAAATTTCAGTATTTTTCTTCCAGTTTGGTCATTCTAGAAATAATATCTAAAGCTGTTTCCCACATCACAACTGAAGAGTTGTCATGTTTATTTAAACAGCTCCATCTGGCTTCCAGTAAGTCCCAAATTTCAGGTTTTCACAGCCGTGCAGGGATTCCTGTCGTGCCCACAGAGCACAGAAAAATTTTGTGCTAAGCCTGGTTAAGTTTGTTAAAAGAAGCATTCTTTTTGCAGGAGAAGGGATTAAATGTTTTTCGGATCATGCCCTACCTCACAGATTGCTCACTCCTGAGAGAACAAAATTCAGATCTTTTGGAACAGTTCCACTGCTGGCACCAGTGCATATGGAAAAGATTTTTCGGTGGTGTTTTTTGGGCCAGGCTGAAGATGATGTGGTCAAGTCAGTGCCAAGCTTTTAGCCACACAGGCATGCAGTGGGAGCCAGGAAAGTGTGGAACACTGCCACCATCTTGCTGCCCCCAGAGACCAACACTGCCCTTGGCGTTCAACCAGTTCTTTGGCACATCAGGTTCAGTGTGTGGCCTCTGCCACCTGAATATAAGTGTCCTCAGCCTTGCAGCCTGTGGTCTGTGCTTACCTTGTTAATAACCTCTCTGCCACAGTTTAAAAAAGAAATGTCTTTCTGCAGTTACATCATACCAGAGGGGAATTTCTTATGCTCACAACAGAGGGTGCATACCAGGGCTGCAGACAGGAGATGCAATGTACAGCATAGCCCAAGTGCAAGTTAAGCAGAAAAATAGGATTTTAGGAGTAGAGAAGTACTGATAACAGTAAAAGTATTTTCTGAGTGTTTGCAATTAAAAACACTCTTCCCCTTTCTGCACTCTGACAACAGTTAACAAGTTGTTAAAAGCTGAACAGAGTAAAGTCGTGCAGTCTTCTCTCATTTTAGGAATTCCGCATTTTATCTATAATGCAAGACACGTTCAATTTCTCAAATGCAGCAAACTCTTTTTACCCAAGGTTGCAAAATCATCTGATATTTTAACTTGCTTCCAGTAGGAGTGTACCATAACCCTCCATTCTAAATGTCTGCCTGGTGAGGGGTCAGAGATGGTCAGGGAATGAGCCACAGCAGGCAGGGGAATGTGAGGAGCACCTGTGTGAAATATAATAAGCAGCAGCCATGCTCTCCAGTCATCTCCCAGCCTGCCATGTGTGCAGCAAACACAGACACATCTATGCAAGTCATGCTCCAGACCTGAATTGCAGGGATGTGTCGAGGCACTGTAAGGAGGCACGTTCAAAATGGTTTTCAAACAGGCACAGGAAGACAAACAGTGCTTACAAACTGCATTGTAGTTTTTCAGTGGTGTTTGCCATGTGTGGGTTCAGGCTGACAAGAAGAGAAACCTGCTCCCTCAGCAGACAGAGTGAAGGGTTTTCCCCTGGAATTTAAGGGCAGAGAGGTTTCCTCCATTAGCTTTTTCGCAAGTGTCAGTGCAGGGGTTACAGAAAAGCTCTTGTCTGAGGCAAGAAGGGAGCCCTGCCCGTGAGCTGTAGTCACATGCCAGAAGTGTAATCTGAAAGGAGAGTTTAAAAATTACAAATATGTAAAGGAACAAGCATCTAGTGAGAAGATAAAAGCTGTACTGGTCTGATTCCTTTTAGTTGTATGAATAAAAGACATATGTAATATTTAAGGCAAAGAAGTTGCTCTATGGGAAATTGAGTCCAAGAATATGAATGTCTTAAGACATGTCTTGATATTCTGTCATTTTATGAGTCTGCCCAGGGTCTGTCTGTTTGGCTGATATTGCTTTTGTAGGATTTGTGTGCTTTAATTAGCTATTTGGAGAAGGGAGACTATCAATTCTTTAACTCTGTTTCACTACTAATTTTACAGTGCTGTATAAGGTCTAGCTGGGCATCTATGACTCTGAAATAAACTTTTAGATTCTCTAGTACTCAACAGTTAATTTTGGAGCATCTGTAGTGTAAAATCAAAAACATGTCTTGTCAAGATTTTGTGTGTTAGGATCTGCTTTTAACATTTCACAAAGACCGAGAAAACTGATATTCCACAAAGCCTTAATGAAGCTATTTCTCTGGGGTTTATGTAGGCTTAAATTGATCTGACAAGTTTTCTAGTGCTTTCACTTATTCACACTACTGGTATGTCTATCAGTTATCCTCTGAAGGACATCATATGATTTTTAAGGTTGCAAAATAGGCACGTTTTACTAACTTTTGCATGCTTGAGCCTTAAAAATTGTTTTATTTTGCTTTGTAAACGGAATCCAGTGACTTTTCTTACATGAAAAAGCTTTTATTCCTTTTTCATTCACAGATGCACACATATGTACATACAGGTATATAAACATATAAATACACTGCGAATAGGCATTATACAAATCCTTGTTGTTATTAAATTACTTGTTAAAGTTCAGTAGTCGAGTCTACATGGTCCTCACTGTTTAACTGTTTTGTTTTGTTCTTTACACAGGAGCCCTTACCAAAGTAAAGGAGAGTAAGCGGCATGTGGAAGAGGGGAAGATGGAGCTCCAGAAAGCTGAGGGCATTCAGGAACGTTGTAATATTATTTCTTTTGCAACCCTTGCAGAAATTAATCATTTCCACAAAATTCGTGTGAGGGACTTTAAATCACAGATGCAGCATTTCTTGCAACAGCAAATACTCTTTTTTCAAAAAGTGACACAAAAGCTAGAAGAAGCTCTTCACAAGTATGACAGTGTTTAGCCTCTGATTTGTGGACTTCCTTCGGCATGACTGCGACTGAGGCAGCACAGCAGATGCTGCTGAAGAGCTGTTGCCAGTGGTAGGTGGCGGTACAAGGATGGGTTTGTGTTCACCTGGAACCTGGGTTTAATCTCCGAGTATGTAGAAAGGAAACAGTTATAGCGCTATGTAGTAGAAACAGTACCACAAATTGTAACTAAGTTATACTGTGTATGCCTACACTACCATTGTAACTTTTCTGAATAATGGGTATACTATCTGCCTTACTGCTCTTTGAAATACGGTATTTTAGTGCATACTTTGTAGACCTCAAAACCCTTTGGGACTTTAAGGAAGTTGGCTAGATAAAAGCCTACTTCAAATGCCTTTTTACTTTCCTAGATTTGGATTTCCTAAATTCAAACAATTCTCTGTTTACAGACTCCTACTAGAGCAGCTATGTGATTCTGTGCCTTTAGACTCTATTTTTCTTTTTCTAGTAAGTCACATTTTTATGATTGAATGAATGAATGGTTGATGCCTATGACAGGAACTGATTATGAAACCTCACACTGACTGGAAAAAAATCAGCTGCCATCCAGTTTGCATAGCAAGTACTGTCTTATGACATGTGTTGGCTCAAAAGGGAGAATTTAAATTTATTCACACTTTCCCTGAAAATGGAGACTACTTGTTACATGTTCTAGGATGTTAAGCACATATACAGCGTTACTGTGAGTGAAAATTTGAAGAGCTAGCTTAATAAAAATTACATATATCAAGGGGATATTAGTGCAAGCTATGTGGCTGCAATATTTTTTTTAAGTTTCAAATTATTTGCTTATTGTTCAGTTGCTGATTCAGTTTAACTTCAGACTTGCATATACATTGCCAGTTGTCTGAGTTGAAACTCCACTGTGATTCGTTAGTTGACTAAGTTAAAAGTTTTTGGGGATGTTCAGTAATATAAGTGATCTGAAATAAGTCTTGGCTGAACTGACTTGGAAAACATTTTTATGTTTGTAACACTCAAGAATTAACAATTGTCTTAATTTTTGTATAAATATTTTGACAAGCAGGGTGCATTTATATATGTAAACACTATCTTTTAAAGAGTTTTATGGCTTATTTCGCTTGAAATAGGTATTTCTTACATATTGATTTCCTTCTTATTGGTCAGTATGAAAGAGGGTTTTTATTTATCCTATCTTTTTTCTCCTAAACAAAAATAACAAAACCTTTCAAGGAAGAAAAATGTTTACTTTTTTGTTTTAAATTGAATTAATCAAAGATGGCTTAAACAAATGAAAGCCTGGAAGAGGAAGTAGAGCAACAGTTACATATAAGTACAAATCATTCCTCACCTACACAGCAGAAATGTACAGATCTTTCAGCTGATCATTGAGTTTCAATAGTTTAACTCCATACCTTTGTTTTGGAGGAATAAGTGTAAGAATGTCGTTTTCTTTCTAAGATTCATCCCCAGATGCTTGGAGATGGTTGTTTTCTGCAAGTTGCTTTTGGCATTGCTTCTAGTACATACAGAGAGCAGTAAATTACAGAATAATGGAGAGGGAAAAACCAGTATTTGTATAAGAAAGGACAATCAGTGAGGAAAGACTCCATTTCCAGCTTATTGGAACAGTGCTGCAAACAATGTTGACCATAAAATAAGGACCACAGTCATAGGGCTGACTTGTTCTTTAGCTTCCTCATGATGTCTTGTTCTACAGTCAAAACTCACCACTTCCCCTAAGAGCTCTTCCCAGCAGAACTTCTGCTTCCCCATATGCCATTTAATTATGTGATATGATGGCAAGCTAGGTTTGAGCTGAGTTCCACAGCTTATGTTTGCTTAAGCCAGATACTGTTTTGTTAAGTGTCTTTACAGTAATTAGATCAGACTACAATCAAATTGATTCTATATGGAGGGTTTAAGACCACAGATTGATCTTGGTCCAATTGAAGTATTTTAGGAGGTTAGTATTAATGACATGTACATGTCCAGGAGGAAATTAAGCTGTGATATGTATTCATACAACATTATCAGACAGGTACAGTTTTCCCTAATAAACTGTCATGGTCTTCACCTTACTTTCTCATTTGTGATTTTTTTGGGCAGGGGAAAACTGTGGGGGTACTAATTGATTAAATCTGATGTACTAGAAAACTTTGACTGGAATCCTGGATCTGAATTGTTGTAGAATTCAAAAATGTTCAAATCTATAAAATGCTATATCAGCATCTTCCTCTTTTCCTCAGTTATTATAGAGTTGGAGTTAAACTGGCTCATGGGTGGAGCACAAAGGGTTATATAGTAAATGAGGTTACATCGAGCTGGGAACTGGTGGAGTTACACAGGGCTCCATCATAGGCCCAGTTCTTTTCAATGTCTTCTTAAGCACTGGGATGCAGGACTCAAAGGGATACTAAGTAAGTTTGATACTAACTTGAGAGGAGCTGTTGGCTCCCTTAAAGGTAGAGGAGCCCCACAGAGAGACGTGAACAAATAAGAGGGATGGGCAATCACCAACCATATGAAATTGAACAGGAGCAAGTGTTGGATTCTGCACCTAGGATGGGGCAACCTATACAGTTGTGTGTATAGACAGGGAACAAGAGGCTGGAGAGAAATGCTGTAGAAGGGAACCTGGACGTTGTGGTCAGTGACAAGTTAAAACTGAGTCAGCAGTGCCCTGGCAACCAGGAGGGCCAACTGTGTCCTGTAGGGGCATCAGGCAAAGCATCGCCAGCCGGTCAAGGGAGGGGATTGTCCCGCTCTGCTCTGCACTGAGATGGCCTCACCTTGAATATTGTGTGCAGTTTTGGGCACCACAATATAAAAAAAGATATTAAGCTATTGGAGAATTTCGAAAGGAGAGCCACAAAGACGCTGAAGGGTCTGCCTTATAAGGGGCAGCTGAGGTCAGTTGGGCTGTTCAGCCTGGAGAAGACTGAGGGGAGACCTCATTGCAGTCTGCAACATCCTCACTGGGGGAGCAGAGGGTCAGGTACCAGTCTCTTCAATCTCATGACCAGTGACAGCACCCGAGGGAATGGCATGAAGCTGAGTCAGAGGAGGTCTAGGTTAGGTACTGGGAAAAAGTTTTTCACCCATAGGGTGCTGGAACATGCTCCCTGGGGAAGTTGTCACAGCACCAAGTCTGTCTGAGTTCAAGAAGTGTTTGGACAATGTTCTCAGGCACATGGTGGGATTCTTGGGGTGTCCTGTGCAAGGCCAGGATTTGGACTGGATAGTCCTGTTAGGTCCCTACCAGCTCAGCATATTCAATGATTTTATGATGTAGGAAGCCTTAACTCCATTAATACTTGCTGAACTGCATAAGAGCTACAGTATTCGTAGAATCATAGAATTAACTGGGTTGGAAGAGACCTTCGAGATCATCAAGTCCAACCCTTGATCCAACTCCACTGCGATTACTAGATCATGGCACTCAGTGCCACATCCAGCCTCATCTTAAAAACCTCCAGGGATGGTGAATCCACCTCCTCTCTGGGCAGCCCATTCCAATGCCTGATAACTCTCTCTCTGTAAGGCACTTCTTTCTAATATCCAACCTAAACCTCCACTGCCAGAGCTTAAGCCTGTGCCCTCTTGTTCTACTGCTGGTTGCCTGGGAGAAGAGACCAACCCCCACCTGGCTACAACCTCCTTTCAGGGAGCTGTAGAGAGTGATGAAGTTGCCCCTGAGCCTCCTCTTCTCCAGACTAAACAACCCCAGTTCCCTCAGCCTCTCCTCACAGGACTTGTGCTCGAGTCCCTTCACCAGCCTGATTGCTCTTCTCTGGACCTGCTCCAGCACCTCAATGCCCTTCCTGAACTGAGGGGCCCAGAACTGGACACAGCACTCAAGGTGTGGCCTCACCAGCACTGAGTGCAGGCGAAGAATCACTTCCCTGCTCCTGCTGGACACACTGTTCCTGATCCAGGCCAGGATGCCATTGGCCTTCTTGACCACCTGGGCACACTGCTGGCTCATGTTCAGCCTCCTGTCGATCAGCACCCCCAGGTCCCTTTCTGCCTGGCTGCTCTCCAGCCACTCTGTGCCCAGCCTGTAGCGCTGCAGGGGGTTGTTGTGGCCAAAGTGCAGGACCCGCCACTTGGCCTTGTTGAACCTCATCCTGCTGGAATCAGCCCAACTCTCCAGCCTATCCAGGTCCCTCTGCAGAGCCCTTCTGCCTTCCAGCAGGTCAACACTCCCTCCTAACTTGGTGTAATCTGCAAATTTGCTGATGATGGACTCAATCCCCTCATCCAGATCATCAGTAAAGATGTTAAACAGGACTGGGCCCAGCACTGATCCCTGGGGAACACCACTGGTGACCGGCTGCCAGCTGGATGCAGCCCCGTTCACCAGCACTCTCTGGGCCCGGCCCTCCAGCCAGTTCCTGACCCAGCACAGAGTGCCCCTGTCCAAGCCATGGGCTGCCAGCTTTTCCAGGAGTGTATTATGGGAGATGGTGTCAAAGGCTTTGCTGAAGTCCAGATAGACTACATCTACAGCCTTCCCCTCATCCACCAGGTGGGTCACCTGATCATAAAAGGAGATCAGGTTGGTCAGACAGGACCTGCCCCTCATTTTATTTCTAAAAAGTATGACATTGACCAGTTATGACTGACTGACTGCTGAGTGGTGTGGTCTGAGATCCAAATGTACTCTACAGTTACGTGAATGTACATTATGTGGGACTTTGGAAGTACCAAAGGAAATCTAACAGAATTTAATAAACAAATGTGCAAGAAAACAGATTTGTTCTGTAGCATAATGTTAAATGCTATCATTTTGTTCAATTCATGTAACGTGTTTTTGATGCATCGCAATTTTTGCATTGATAAGTAGCAAATATCTGGTATACTTGTTGGGGGTTGGAGAGGTTAAATTGATAACTGCAAGATCCACTGAGGTATTGGTGCAGAAGAATATGTTGTGAGTAAAATCATTGTGTTTTTAGAAAATGTTAATCAGCTGCCTAAACTGAAAATATCTAGTGAGACACATGTATCTTTTTGGTGAATTGTAAGACCCTGTTTGCAGTACCTTCTTATTTTTCCAGACCTTCACTATTTCAGCTAACATCTTCCTTGCTGGTTGTGTGTTTCAGTGTGCTCCAGTTCTTCTGGGAAACTTAAATGAAAATTGTTCAGCTATTTCTCAGTAGGAAATCATAAAAATAAAAAAAGGTTTTTTTCTTCTTACATTTTCTATACAATTTGGCTGGAAATCTTTAGTTCTTTCATACTTTGGAAGACAATATGAAATTTGGCAGAGTTAGATATGCTTTCTGCACTGCCTGTGAAAATTTGTCCATATATATTCAAGTTAAACTGAAGTTTCTCCAGGCCCTGCTGTGCAAAATTGTCACAGATAGATTTTTCTGTAACTTCCCTTTGCTTCAGGCAGTCCTGATTCTAACATCAGTCAGCAGTGGGTGATTTTTTCTAGATTTCTTTTTTCCTTCATTCAAAAGGGGCTGAACCTCTCAGACTGGACGCTGAGCAAAGAAGCTGTCTTAAGCAGATCTTTTAGCCTGGCCTTGGGAGGAGAGGAGCAGCAGTCTAGAACAGAAGTCTGATGTTATGCCTGGCAGCTACAACAAGGATATCGGAGATGGTAGGCGAGGAACACGAAAATCAGAAAATGATGAGGACAGAAAGCCCTGTGACTACAAAAGCCTGTTCTTCCAGTCCCTAATTGTACCTTGGGCTTCCAAAGCATGCACGTCATTTTGTTGTAACTCAATAGCCATAATGAGCAGGCACAAAATGGGAAACTTAATTCTTCTGGTGATGAGGACAGAAACATTTTCTTTCTACCATTAGAAGTTACATTTTTTGCTCAGCGGTCAAAGGTCTCATGGCAGTTGAAAACTGTTGATAAGCTGTAGATTTCAGGACTGAATGAGATGTCATAATGCAGGCTCTGTCAGGCAGCACTGGGCTTTGGTATGGCTCCATGTGTTCTAATATATGTTTTTTTCTTGGTAAGAGGAGATCAATTTAGGAAATTGCAAACATTAAAAAAAAAACCAAAACCCAACAAACCAAAACTGTATTAAAGAATACTAAGATTGATAACACAGTAGAAAATTAAAAACATTAAAACAAACAAAAATCCACACACACACAGAAAAACCAAACAGAAAACCACAAAAACAAACAGAAATAAGAAGAAAGGAAATTTCAGAATTGAAGTTACCAGTGTAACTGGTATATCAAGGAACATCGTTGTACATGGTCTAAGAACTTTTTGCATCACTTCCCTTTCTGATAAATGCACATAATATAGTCAACTAAGGTCTTTCAGGGAGGGTATGGTCTATATCATCCTTGTCTTCTTTTGCAGCATCAGTTGTACTCTGAACAGCAAGAAGGAGAGGCAGGGTGAAGATCAAGTACAGGTTTCTGTCAGCCTACACAGTGGTGCTCAGAGAACTTGACTCTGTCCTGCCTCTATTTGAGTTTCTATGCAATATAAGCCACCTAAATAATTTGCATGCTCTTCATTTTGCGTGGGCTTGAGTTTAAACCCAGGACTACTTCTGATTAAAGTGCTGGGCATTGAAAATTTTCACCAATGGCTATGGAAGTTCTACTTTGAAGAAGGAAATGCTTCAAAGTGCAAAGTACTCTGGAAAAAAATAATCAGGTACTAATTTCTTTAGGTAGACTAGCACAAATTAGAGGACACTTGTAATCTATGAGCTGGAAAAGCGGAATAGTACACCTAGCTTATATTGCTGGCATGTTGCAAATACAAACTCCTTGAAATAATTAGTTTTCAGTTGTTGATTTATTAAAAAAAAAAAATCTCAAACCCTCCTAAGGGAATTAATACTTAATCTTCAGAATGAAGTAGGAATATTATTTAGGAAAAAATGGGGATGAGGCCACGTGCAGAGTAGTGAGGTAAAATAAGTCTCTAGAAGATTCTTAGTCAGGTGCTGTTCATTCAATGAATGGAAAGAGAAAGACCTTTTCAGAAAAATCTTACATGATCAATGTCATCAGAGCACATTTTTGATGCATATTCACAGGAAAGCTGAAATAGTCACATGGTTTAGCTTACTTCTGG